CAGATAAAACAGCAGGGACAGGCCGAGTTCAGCACTGTAGCAGGAAGAACTCATTAAAAACCAGGTTTTTGTATCCAGCAAAAATATTTTGCACAGGGAGGGGAGAAGGAACACACAGCGGAGATGATGTATTGCAATCAGATACGGCTTTAATAAAATGTACATAAGTTTACAACTGGAACATTTCCTCGTAACCATTACCAGAAACACCGATGATCACACCCAGAGTGCAAAACCTGACTTCAGCAAATCCACAAGGCAGAGGTGCTTCCAAAACCACGAAGAATTACCTTAGTGACAGCGCGGGGCGACCGAAACGCTGCTCTTGGGGCACGAGTCCTGGATTGTCGCAGTCAGCACAGGCCACAGACGCCCCCAGCTCTGGCTCCTGAGCCCCTGGCCCTCCCCACCTCTGCAAGGAATTATTTTGGGGACCATCATCATCGTCACCATCAACATTATCATCATCATTATCCTCCCTCTAACTTCACAGGGAGTATTTCTAGGCATGCGTGAGAGCATTTGCCCTTCCCACAATGGAAACCCCAGGCCGTGCTGTGTTTTTAGAAGGGCCAACGCAGCTGATCAAGTTTTGGGAATGTGTTTCAGAACGGGCACGAGATTTCACTGGCAAGACACCACCGTGAAAATGCTTTGGAGTCCTTCGGTGCATTGAAAGCCTTGATTTAACACCGTGAGGAAGCACAACAAAATAATACCACCACAAAAATTCAACTCCCCAACGCAAGAGTCTTTGGTGGAAGCTGAGTTAAAGTCACCGATTACCACTTTGGAGTGATTGAGAGTTCAGCCATTCAACGGCGCTCGCTGCGGATGTGCTCGGTGTCGCGGGCGTAGCATCGCCTGCGTGCTCTGTGCGTCGTGTGCATCGCGGATTGAGTGTGCATTGCAGACTGAGTGTGCATCAGATTGAGTGTGCATCAGATTGAGTGTGCATCAGATTGAGTGTGCATCAGATTGAGTGTGCATCAGATTGAGTGTGCATCAGATTGAGTGTGCATCAGATTGAGTGTGCATCAGATTGAGTGTGCATCAGATTGAGTGTGCATCAGATTGAGTGTGCATCAGATTGAGTGTGCATCAGATTGAGTGTGCATCAGATTGAGTGTGCATCAGATTGAGTGTGCATCAGATTGAGTGTGCATTGCAGACTGAGTGTGCATCAGATTGAGTGTGCATCAGATTGAGTGTGCATCAGATTGAGTGTGCATCGCAGATTGAGCGTGCATCACTGAGCGTGCATCACTGAGCGTGCATCACAGACTGAGTGCATCACAGACTGAGTGCATCGCAGACTGAGTGTGCATCACTGAGTGTGCATCGCAGACTGAGTGTGCATCACTGAGTGTGCATCGCAGACTGAGTATGCATCACTGAGTGTGCATCATGGACTGAGTGTGCATCACGGACTGAGCGTGCATCACAGATTGAGCGTGCATGCAGACTGAGTGTGCATCGCAGGTTGAGTGTGCATCGCAGAGTGAGTGTGCATCGCAGAGTGAGTGTGCATCACAGGTTGAGTGTGCATCACTGAGTGTGTGTGCATCATAGACTGAGTGCATTGCAGAGTGAGTGTGCATAACACATCATAGACTGAGTGCATTGCAGAGTGAGTGTGCATAACAGACTGAGTGTCCATCGCAGAGTGAGTGTGAATTGCGGATTGAGTGTGCATCGCAGACTGAGTGTGCATCACTGAGTGTGCATCGCAGACTGAGTGTGCATCGCAGACTGAGTGTGCATCACAGACTGAACGTGCGCTGGCTTCAAGAGACCGAAACTGTAAACTTACCACGTGCGGCAAGTGCCGAGCTGGCGGGGAGGGAGAGGAGGAGCGGGGAAAGCCCTCAAAATCCTGCACAATCCTGGGCCCCTGTACCGGGTCACGGCAGCGAGGCACGGAGAGCCAAGCCAACTGCTTATTTTCCTGTTATTTTGCATGCAGAAACTCTGATTGATCACTTGAACAGAGACTTCAGGTGCATTCGCGCTGGAGGTGGCAATGGGCGCGTACCACTTCCTCGAAGATTGTCCCAGGACGGCAGCGACAGCCGCAGGTAACAGAATCCACTACAGCTTTACAAAACCACCTGAAACCAGCGGTTCTGCTCAGAAAACGGACTTCAGAACACTGCACTGAGGCTGTAACAGTCTTACTTCATGGAGACGATGGGTTATGCGGCACAGAAAACAGCCAGTGTTATTCTTCCACACTCACTAAGAACAGCAAGCTTCACAGACCGTGGCAATAAAACGTCCACATTGCGGCACAACTCATGGTGCTGAGGCTGCAGCGCTGGCACTGCAGGATGAGGAGGAACACAGGCTGGAAGCGGGCAGGGTGGCAGACCAACGGCATTAAAATTCAGTTTTCTGACCGTAACCAAAAGCCCCATCTCCAAAAGAGATTTCAAACCACTTAAGCACTGGATGTCTGCCTGGCTGCTGGGGCACGGTGAGCTTGCTTGTTGTATAAAGTGCTTGAAGGACATAAAAGCTGCCAAAATGCTGGAAATTCAGCCTGAGCTGCCCTGAACCAAGCCTCGGTGCAGCTTCCCTTCCTCCCTGGGCTGGCAGTGTGGGATTTGCAAGGTCTGAACTACGCCCAGGTCATCTCACTGACACCAACAGCGGAAAGGGGCCGGGGCGATGCTGATCCAGCACAAGCATTGGGACACCTGGGAAAAGCTTCACAGAATTATCCAAAAGCCATTTTTCAAGTAAAAACGAAGGGAAGGGAGGAGAACCTGAACGCAGTCGGCAGAGGTGATGACTCAAACCCTAACCCTTCTCTATGTCCTTCTCCACGGGTTGACCCCTGCACCCTCAAGGCCTGACCTCCCTTCCAGCAGCTTCCTGAGGGAATTTAACAGCTCGAGGCCAAACTCGGCCTCAAAACAGCGTGACATGGGTTGTATGGAAACAAACTCGGTGACCTCGATGCCCCTCGAATTCTCAGTTTGCCATCGCAGGCATCCTCAGCACCTCTCACTGATCCAATCCAGCAACAACCGAGTTGGGGAGGGGGCGCAGATACTTAAAACAAAACCAACAACCCCCTTTTGGGTGAGAATTTAAACAGAAAACCCAACGGCAACGAAACCCAACACCACCGGCCCCAGCTTTGCTGCAGGAACACCTCCAGGGGATCCCAGAAATTTCTGTACAGTACTGCTGCTTTCAGGAGGTGGTGACAGAGGACAGAAAATGCCCTAAACCACCCGTATGCACCAGTATGTACCAGTATGTACCAGTATTCCTTAACCCCGAGCACAGCAGAACAGGGCAGGAGGTTCCCAGCTCCCCACAGCACGACCTGGGCTGGGCTGGGCTCTGCCCCAGGGCTTTGAGACCACAACCCAAGCTTCCCCCTCTCCCTCCCAGCGATCCCAGTGCCAAGCGCACCCAGCACCACATTGGGCTCATCTCTTGCATCTGGAGATGTCTTGGAGGGGAAAGGAAACCCGGAGCAGTCGGTCACTCCTGTTTGCAGATGCTTCACTATTCAGCATTGGGGTTTTTCCATTATCTCCCCTTATGCTGGGCCTAAAATTGGGGAACAGTCACCACAAGGCACTCAGGATGCTACTGGAGTCAATGGGGATTTTTTTCTTCCCATAGATGGCAAGTCCTTAAAAATAAAACCACCAATTTTTGTCCTGCAGCACCAGCACTGTCAGGAACACGGGGAATTAACATTTACAAGGAGCCTTTGCGGGCCAGAGAGAGCAGATCCAGGGCAAATTCTGCAACCAGGCATTTCGCAAAGTAACGACAGGTTTCGCTCTCACTTCTGTCCGATATAACTGAAAATTAAAGTTACATTCTGCTTTGTTTCTGCCCAGCTGCCAGCCTGGGGACTTCTCCAAACACTGAATTAGGATTCACCGCATCAATGACTGAAAATGCAATACGGAGTCGTGTCTCTCTTTGGGAATCTGGTAAGAAGCAGAGTGTTTTGGAAGGGAAGCGAATGTGACGCACGGAGCGTGAATGGGGCTGGTTTAGGTTCACCCTTCATCAACAGGAAAACAAAAAAGCAGGACTTACAACGTGGAGCCTGCTCGTATCAACCACGGCAACCGGGCTGAGGTATGTACACCAGGACATCCCTCGAGCTGTTCGCACACTGAATTCTTCCGTCAGGCCTATTTTTTAATACTGTAAAGACGCGCGGCTCTCTCCTTCACAACACCGCAAGCAAATTTCTGGCTCCTACGCTTTGGCATAAACCAGACAGGAAAAGCTGTGCCCGGTTTTTCCGTTTCCCGAACAGCAGCACCAGGGACCGATCGCCCAAAGCCGGTACCAGCGCTCGCCCGCGCGGCTCCCGCTCGGTGTGCGCGGAAACCACGCGAAAAGTCCCTCAGGAGGGATCTGCATCGCTGCCGAGCAGCAGGAACAGTCGATATTCAATATTCAATACGTTCAGGTCGATATTGCTCTCTTCCACAAGCCCCTGCTGAAGGGAAAGAAGCCGCAGTAACCCTTTAACCTGTGAAATCACCTCCTTTCCAGAGCACTAGCAAGTCCCGCTTGACTTGCTCTGTAATTCATAAACCTTTTAATTCATCTTATAACGCATTTCCCCAGCCAGGACCAGAAAATGTGGAATATTACTGGTTTGGAAAAGCATCTAAAGAAATATAAATGGGGGGGGGAGGAAGGCAGTGAGAGGAGCAACTGAAAAGGATATGAAGATCCTGAGAGGCAGGCGGTCGGACTAACATAACTTAAATGGTTCAACTATGCGTCAGTGCAAATAGAGTTCTGACCGAAAAATAATAATTATTTTATATATATATTTATATTGCTATGTCATTCATTCCAACTAAGGGGTTCGAGGTCCCGCTCCCAGCAGATTAAGGCTTTTGCTTTCCCGCT